AAAGGAAAGGAAAGGAAAGGAAAGGAAAGGAAAGGAAAGAAAAGAAAAGAAAAGAAAAGAAAAGAAAAGAAAAGAAAAGAAAAGAAGAAAAGAAAAGGTTGGAAGAGGAAACAGAAATGTGGGAAAAGAGCAAAGCAAAGGCAAGAGAAGAGGCAAGTCAAGATGGGAGGAAGAGCCAAGAGATGAAGGAAAGGGACCAAATCCAGGGATGGAGGAGGGAGAGGAAGGAAAAGAGGAAAGACAGAGGGAATGGAAGGGATGAAGCCAAGAAGGACAGAAGGGAGAGGTGGGATGTGAAGGAGTAAAAAGGAAAGAGAGGAAAAGGGATGAGAGAATTAATGGCTAAGTGAGGAGATGGAGAAAGAAGGGAGGAAAAGGATGGGAAAACCACCCAAATGGAGCAGCTCCCCCTGCCCTGCCTGTGGGGATGGGGACATATGGAGACAAGGGCCAGGTTGGGAATGGGGACAGGGATGGGGTCAAACAGGCACCTGGGATGGAGTTTGGGACAAGGATGGAGGGGGAGGCGGGACAAAGAGGAAGCAAGGATGGGAATGGGTATAGGACGGGAACTGGGGATGAGAAAGGGGACAGGGATTGGGACAAACAGAGACCGGGAAAGGGAGTGGGATCAAGAGTGGGGACAAACTGGAAGCAAGGGTGGGGATGGGGACAGGAATGGGGACCAATGGGAGCTGGATATGGACCAAGATGGATATGCCTGGATCAATGGCATCAGGGATGGGAACAAACATGGACCAAGATGGGGACAGGGATTGGGACAAATAGAGACCAGTAAAGAGAATGGGATCAGGGATAAGGGTTAAGGACAAACAGGGATCAGGGATGATGACGGGGACAGAAATGGGGACAAGTTGTGGTCTTGGATGAGGTTAGGATGGGGATACAGCAGGACCAGGAATGGGGCTGGGATAGGGATGGAGGGGCAGGGAAGGAACAGAGCAGGGACAGGGACAGAAGGGAACCAGGGTGGGGATGGAGCCAGGGCTGGGAGTTGGGATGGGGATGGGATACGGATGGAGACAGGAAGAGCCTGGGGACAGGGGACAATGGGGTCCCAGGATGGGGACCAGCATCAGCAACGGGGACCAGGGGCCTCCAAGCCAGACTTTTATTTTAATATTATTATTATTATTCCTCTCCATAACCCCCCCCCCC